ACAAGAAAGTGACTGCTGAACTTACAAAACAAGACATTACTGAAGGGTTTCTGTTGAAATGGAGAAGTGTGCCAGACACTCTGTGGCCTATAGGCTGAAGATGGATGGCCCAACGTTACAGAGGAACTTTGGGTGACTTTCAATAAATTTATATATTATCCTTCTATGGTCTTTGATAGAGTTAAAGACAGATAGTTATGGTTATAGTTTTCTTCAGTTATTATAAAAGATAAGTTACCCTTCTTTTTATTTAGACAGAAAAGAGGAGATGATGGGGAATGTACTTCTGTGTAAGTTTATCTTATTGATTGTTGAATAAAATACTGTTTGGCAAATGGCAACAAGTTAGACAGGACTAGGAGTCAAAGAGGATTCTGGGAAATGTAGCAGAGAAGTGGTGATCCAGGCCGGAAGTGACATAGCAAGGAGACTCATATTTAACAAGGAGAAACAGGAAGGGTCCCTTTTCCCCCTCCACTCTTCCTCCAGCGGCGCAATGTGATCCACCGGCAAGAAGGGTCGCCTAGGCATCCGATAAGATAAATCTTATAAAATATATAGATTTATGATGATTAAGACTGAGCTAACAAATGAGGAATCCTAGTTATTGGCCAATCAGCATTGTACCTAATCCAAGTCTCTCTGTGTATTAATTGGGGCCCTAACTTAGGCGGGCAGCTGGCATAGAGCGCACACGAGACAATGGGGCTCAGCGGCTTTTGGTGGAAAGATTTATCGTAACACCAGAGGGTCCTCTGTGAGAAGACATGCTACGCTGTCCGTCTTACCGTAACCTTGCTGCTGCCCTGGATAGCTCTGCTGGTTGGGGTACTGCTGCTGGGAGTAGGTCTGCTGCTGCGCCGAGCCCTGCTGGTACCCAGTCTGCTGCTGACTGTACTGGGAGTTTCCTGAAGGAGGAAGGGGCACAGTCTCATTTTCGGGTAGTGCTGAAGGTTCCCTGTCACCCACAGAACAAGTGAGTAGCCATGGAATCCTTGCACCATGTCTCCAGAGGCAGCACGCTTCCACGTGGCTCAAACATCATGTGACATTTTTATTTTATTATGTTACAAATACAAACGAAAACCCGATAATACAAAATGGGTGATGTAGCTACTAAAAGCAGTACCATGAACTAAGCGTCAAGTTCTACTCCACACGGTAATTGTCAGTATGATGATTCAGAACCACCCAGGAGACACACACCTGAGTGTGTCTACATAGGCGTTTCCTGAAAAGTTTTAACTGGATGTGGGAGGCACCATGTCATGGGCTGGGGTCTCAGACCAAATAAAGAAAAGTAAGCTGAGTCTTTCTTCACTTCCCAACTGTAGACGCCATGTGACCAGCTGCCTCAGGCTCCTTCCACCATGGGTGGACTGCACTTCAAACCGTAAGCCAAAATGAACCCTCCCGAATCAGTCTACCACAAGATCCAGCAATCCCACTCTTAGGCATATACCCAAAAGATGCACATTCATACAACAAGGGCATCTGTTCAACAATGTTCATAGCAGCACTATTTGTAATAGCCAGAAACTGGAAGCAGCCTAGATGCCCCTCAACTGAAGAATGGATAGAGAAAATGTGGTACATTTACACAATGGAGTACTACTCAGCGGGAAAAAACAATGGAATCTTGAAATTTGCAGGAAAATAGATGGAACTAGAAGAAACTATTCTAAGGGAGGTAACCCAATCACAAAAAGACAAACATGGGTATGTACTCACTCATATGTGGATTTTTGAAAGAGTAAAGGATTACCAGCCTACAATCCACACTGCCAGAGAAACTAGTGAACAAGGAGGACCCTAAAAGAGACATACATTGTCCCCTGGAGAAGGGGAAAGGGTCACCATCCCCTGAGAAAATTGGGAGCACGGGAAGGGGGGGAGGGAGCTACGAGAATGAGAAGGGGGGAAGGGGAGGGATGCAGAGGACATGAGGGAGCAGAAAGGTTGAGTCAGGGGAAGAGTAGAAGATAACAAGAATGGAGATACCATAATAGAGGGAGACATTTTAGGTTTACAGAGAAATCAGGCACTAGGGAAATGTCTGGAGAGCTACAAAGATGACACCAGCTAACAATCTAAGCAACAGAGGAGAGGCTACCTTAAATGCCCTTCCCTGATAATGAGATTGATGACTAAATTATATCCCACCCTATAGCCCTCATCCAGCAGCTGGTGGAAGTAGAAGCAGACACTCACAGACAAACACTGGACTGAACTGGAATCCACTTGCAGAGAAGGATGAGTGAAGAGCAAAGAGGTCCAAACCAGGCTTGTGAAACCCACAGAAACAGCTGACCTGAACAACGGGAGCTCTTGGTCCCCAGACTGATAGCTGGGAAACCGGCCTGGGATCCAGACCCCAGGATCATGGGTTTCAGTGAGGAAACCTCAGAAATCTACGGGACCTCTTGTAGAAGTTCAGTATTTATCCCTAGCATAGGTGTGGACTTTGGGAGCCCATTCCACATAGAGGAATACTCCCTGAGCCAAGACACATGGGGGTGGGCCTAGGCCCTATCCCAAAGGCCGTGACAGACTCTGATGACACGCTATGGAAGGCCTCACCCTCCCTGTGGAGCAGAAAGGATATGTGATAGGTAGGGTTTTAGGGGGGGGGGGGGTTGTAGGGAGTGGGAACTGGGATTGACATGTAAAACAATCTTGTTTCTAATTCAAATTAAAAAAAAAAAAGAACCCTCCCCTAAGTTGCCTTTGTCAGGGGTTTTGCCCCAGCCACAAGAAAAATAAAAATATAGCCTCGAGGGCTGTCTTCACTTCCTGAGACATGCACATGACCTTAATCAGAAACAAGATCGTGGGTGGATGCTAAGGACGGGATGGGGTCCGTGTGAAGCGTGAGAGATGTGAGCAGATACACAGACGCCACATGACTGACAGCGCAGATGACTGGAGCACGTTTCTTCAAGCCAAGGGACAGCCAGACTGATGGCAGCCAGCAGATGCTGGAGAGGCCTGGAGCAGACCTGCCCTGAGCTGGCAGACAGCCTGACCTCAGATCTCATGCCTCCAGAGCCAGGAGGGGGTAAAGCCCTGATGCTTCAAGCCCTGCTAGTACTTCCTCACAGCAGCCCTGGGAGGCTGGACATAAACTGAGCAGGCCAGGGCAGAGGTGTGAAAGGCGTGCTCCGCCTACCGCATGTTTGGTTTTGAAGGAATAAAACAGGTAAATGAGCCAGGTGGTGGCGCAAGCCTTTAATCCCAGCACTCAGGGGGCAGAGGCAGGAGGATCTCTGTGAGTTCGAGGCCAGCCTGGTTTACAGAAGGAGTTCCACGGCAGGCTCCAAAGCTACACAGAGAAACCCTGTTTTGAAACAAAACAAACAAACAACAACAAAAAAAACAGGTAAATGAATGCAGACTGTGAAAATCAAGTCTGAAGGGCTCAGAGTGATCAGGCAGGAAGAAATCTCCAAACTGTGGGCCGCATCAGTACAGACTGTGTGTCCGTGTGATATATACAAACACCTCTCTGTGCTTTTTTCTTATAGAGTTATTCCAAGAGAGTAAAAGTCAATTAATTATTAGGGAACAGTTTGGAGAGAATGACTTGAAGGCTTGAGAGTGCTTGGCTGCTCTTCCAGAAGACCTAAATTTGGTTCCCACAACACCAGTAGGTGGTTCACAACCACCTGCAACTCCAGAGGACACAACCCTCCCTTCTGGACTGAGAATACCACCTGTGAGAGCATATGAGCACGCACGCACGCGCACACACACACACACACACACACACACACACACACTAACAAAGGACAGAAATAAATGTTTTTAAATTAATGTGTATCTATGTCTGCTAGGGCCTGCGAATCTCTGGCTCTCAGGACCTGTGTGTCTCCTCTCCCTTCCACACTCTGTGGCATCCCATGGGTGACGCCTGTCTGCCAGGATGGTCACATTTACACCACAGAGATGGGCAAATGCTACACAGCAGGGCTTTCTGCACAGTCACAAAGCAACATGCAGCTGTCCCTCTCCCCCACGCCTACAGCACCACCAAGGGTCTCTCCATGCTGGTGCCACAAGCCCCTTGCAAAAGATGCAATCCTACTGGCTCATGGGTCATTCATCTGGAAGGATGGCAGCCGTTTGTCCCCCAGCAGTAACACCCCCAACATGGTCAGACAAACCCCGTCCTATTTCCCAAACATACAAGACAAGTGAAGTCCCAATGCACAGCCTGGCAAACCAACCTCACAAATCTACACCAGCTGTCTATTACCATCAACACTCAGGTGAGACACCTGGAGCCGGCACTGTTAGCTCCAGGAGTGTGCGTGCTCACACACTAGGGCACGGTGCGCGTCCTGCCATGCTCCTTCCCCCTCATAGTAGGAGTGTGCGTGCTCACAGTGTGCGTCCCGCCATGCTCCTCACCCCCTCATAGTAGGAGTGTGCGTGCTCACACACTAGGGCACAGTGCGCGTCCCGCCATGCTCCTTACCCCCTCATAGTAGGAGTGTGCATGCTCACACACTAGGGCACAGTGCGCGTCCCGCCATGCTCCTTACCCCCCTCATAGTAGTGCTGTGTGGAATCCTCAAATGAGCGGTCGTAGCCCTGTTCTGTGTAAGACGACTGCTGGTAGGTGTAGTCGCCGTGGCCTGCAAGAAACAGGTGACTTAACTGTCCTGCCTAGGTCCTGGGGGACAACTGGGCTCTGCAGAAGTGAGTTCAGGCCAGGGGACGATGCAGAACTGGCTGAGCCAACCTCTCTAAGCCCCTCTGTTTGTTCTGTCTGTCTGTCTGCCTGCCTGTCTAATCCTCCCTCCCTCTCTCAAGCTCTCTCTCTCTCAAATGCAGGCATCATCATCACTGTGGTGTTGCTCCAAGATGTGGACAGAATCAAGCCTTCTTTACAGCACTGGCAGCTGCTCTCTCCCATACCTGACTGACTCCTGGGGGCTCCCTGGGTAGTGGTGCTATGACCACGAAAAAGCCTTTAGGACATGCCACCATCACATATCAGGCATCATGGCTTGCTACAAGACTTGTCTCAGCCACCTACCCTGCTCTTATTCCCAAATCCCAGACACACTTCCTACCTTATGCTACTGCTTACACCAGGGCCCTGGCCAGGAGTCCCCCAGAGACCTCCATCATTATCGCTCAAAATATATATTTAATGCAGATATTTACTGAGACAGGGTCTCCTGATGTAGCGCAGCCTGGCTTCAAATTCTTAATCCTCTTGCTTCAGCTACCTGAGAGCTGCGATTATAGTCAGGGGCCACCACAGCCGGTATTTAAGATCACATGACAATTTTCAGAAGCGAGGGCAGGAGGCTGAACGCTAGGACCCAGCATGTTAAACACACCACACCTGTCAGTGGTGGGTGGCTCTATCCAGCTCAGCCTCCTTCCACCTTCTGGGAAAGAAAAGCAGAGAAAACCCAAAGAGGTGGATAGTGTCTTACTCAGACGTTTTTCTTGTCAGAAACCGGCCTCAGGCACACCCCAGTATGCTCAAGCTGAGGGGACCCGGGGTGCTTTGCTGGCAGGACACAGGGCATTAGGTCTGAAGAACAGACCACCAAGGAGCTGCCAGCAGCGTGGCTTACCGTCTGGGTAGTACTGTTGACTCATGGGCTCTGCAGCACCCTGGCTGTGGCTGTACTGTTCGCTGTAGTACTCCTCCTGGCCTAGATACTGCTGGGAAGAGCCTGTGGGGATGTGACCAGACACTTAGGACCAGCAGACAGCGGGTGAGAAGTGCTCACACACCTGGTTCAGCAGTTAAGCCATGCTCAGCAGCCTTGCCCACGGGAGGAATACACCCAGGACCATTCAAACACCAATCCTCCCTCTCCTCCTAGCCCAGCTGCCCAAACACTCTGGAACTGGAACGACCACCACCTGTCCCCCCAGGCCCAAACATCTGCTCTCTGGGCTAGCCAGACACTCACTCAGTCCCCATCGCACCTACAGGCCAACGTCCTTGCTCATGTCAAGGAGCAGACTTATGGCCCATGTGGGGAGACAGACCACTGGCTCTTCACCATGGACAGAAGCAGGCCTCAGCCTTACCTTGCTGGGAGGGTCGGTAGGGCGCCATGGGCCGCTGTCCCATCATACTGCTCCCTTGGCCACCCTGGCCCATCATGGCAATGGGTGCCTGGCCCTGGTAATGCTGGCTCCCTCCCTGTGCTGAGTTGTAGTGGGACGTGGCTGCCTGCTGGTGCATCATGGAGACTGCGAGACAGGACAGAAGGACAGAGAGCCCAAATAGCTTCAGGAAGCTCGGGGGGGGGGGGGGGGGCGTGTGTGTGACCCAGGACAGGGCGGTGGATGCACCTTCCCCTGCATACCTGTAACAGTGCGAGCTGCATCTAAGCCCAGGCACAATATCAGCTGTCAGTACTATCGTTTGGCTAACAGAGGAAGTGGGTCCTCAGGGCCCACAGCTCCTGACCACAGAAACTAGGATCCTGTCCTTCCTTGTCCCCAGGGCTTGTCTTGAAGGAGTCAGTGTCCTCTCTCCACTTCTTGGGCAGCAGCACTATAGCTACTGTGGATGACACCTGCCTGTCTGCCTGTCTGCTGCTGGCCGGGCTACACACTGCTCAGGACTCACGGGGACAGCATGTCCTAACAGAAACGAAACACCCATTTGCTTTAAAGTTTGTAGGAAGCCAGGTCTAGTAGAGCACGCCTGTCACCCCAGCTACTCAGGAGATGGAGGCAAGAAGGTTCTAAATTCAAGGCCAGCCACGGCAAATTAGCTAAGGGACGGAGCTCACCAGTAGAGCCTTGCCTCCCATGCAGGAGGTCCTGTTTAGTCCCCAGCACTGATGGGAAAAAAAAAGAAAGAAAAAAGAAAAGCGTCTAGTATTATGTTGAAAAAAAGTAAAACAAGCCAGGCAGTGGTGGTTCACACCTTTAATCCCAGTGCTCTGGAGGCAGAGGCAGGTGGATCTCTGTGAGTTTGAGGCCAGCCTGGTCTACAGAGTGAGTTCCAGGACAGCCAGGATACACAGAGAAACCTTGTCTTGAAAAACCAAGAAAAAAAAAGTGAATCGATCTCTAATAAATACTATAACCATGTGCTTGCAAAATAAGTCTGCAGTGTTATGATCACAGAAAACACTAGGGGACACCCCATCTTGCTTTGTGACATCTTCTAAAATCCCTGTCTCTGATGCTCAGGGGACATCTGGATCAGGACCCGCCATGTCCCAGGCATTTCCTGATATCATGATCAGCATCCCCCATCACGGTCCAGGAAGAAAGGCCTGGACCTCTGGCTTAGTATTTGTGATCCTTCATCTTTTCTACCCCTGACCTTTGCCAGGGGTCCCCTATGTGGAGAACCACTATACCTCACCTGAGACCAGTATTCTTCCACTGTCCTTGGAATTCCTGAGGTATCTGAGAAACCACTCAGGGCTGAGTCACTGTGTATCCACCACCCCTACCCAGTGGGAATGCCTAGGGAAGTGCCACAGCACCCACCAGGAGGGCAGGCTGCCCCTCAGGGCAGGGCCGTATAGTCACTGCAGACACGCTGCCTGTGCCTGCTGTGGTTAGGAGTGGGTCAGTGGTGTGGGGCCAGGTGGAGCGGCAGTACCTGGGTTGGATTGCATGTTGATGTTGGTCCGAGACACATAGTTGCTGATGGCACCTTGGCCTTGCATGGGGACACTCTGCGAGGTGGGTCCCGAGTGGCTGTAGCCAGGCCCAGTACCATGGCCGCTGCCCGACATGCTCATGGAGGTTGTGGGCAGTGTGCTCTGGGCCGTCTGCTGCATGGACACGTGGTTTGGACCTGCCAGGAAGGGTAGGAAAGGGCGTGTCAGGCACTGGAGGCCAGGTAGCCACCTCAAGGAAAAGATATCCAAGTTCCCGTCAAGTGATGGGGGGGGGTGTTAATCACTGGTCAGTAATGCTAACGAAGTGATTAATGAAGACACACGCCATGTGTCACGGTTACCAAGAGCCCCCAGTTGTTACTGCCACCGATACCGCTACCGCCGCCACCGCCACCGCCACCGCCACACCTTCATTCCAGGACCCACGCAGAATGCACACGTCTGCACATTAAGTGAACCGAGTCAAGTGGAACCGGGCAGCTTCATGCCGTCTGCAAGGTACTCACCCCCCACCCCAGACACACACACACTTAGGCTTAGCAGAGTACCTGTGGCCAGGACAGTGGGAGAGAGGCAGCAAGGCCAGGAAGGCACTATGCCCAGCAACGCTGGGTGTAAGCTGTCACTGCAGCCAGCGACCTATGGCTACCTTGGTAACATCACTGCAGCAAACCTGCTCACCGTTTCCGATCTGGCCCTGCATGAGGGAGGCAGGGGGCAGGCCTGTGCTGATGGCATCACTGAGGCTGCCCTGGGGATGCAGGCCCTGGCTGGAACTGCTCTGACTCAGTGCTCCGGGGCCCAGGTTCATGTTCTGGGTTGGTGGCTGTAGATGACAGGACAGGACAGTTAACTCAGAGAGTGAGCACCAAGAGCCACCCCAGGGACATAAGAATTGCACAGCTACCTGCCAGCAGGGGTGTTGGGCTATGATAGAGCCCAAACATGACATTAGAACATAAACCAACTGGCCAAGTGTCTCAGTGTCCACATCTCATCTATGACCGAGGCCCTGCACAAGCTGGCTTCCTGCACGTTTATTTCCCATGTCCTCTCTCGTCTCAGCTAAACATGAGGTGTGTAAAGGAGGTGAAAACTTCCCTAGATCAAACAGCGGTTCCAAAGGTTTGTACGCGCACGCTATTTGTACATAGCCGAGAAAGGGAGCCCCAGACCAGGCCTGGTGCTGCAGTCCGATAATCTCAGCTGAGAGGTGCAGGCAGGAGGATGGCAAGTTCAAGGCTTGCCTGGGCTACACATTGAGTTCAAGATCAGTCTGAGCAAAATAGTTAGATCTTAAAACTAAAACTTATTTTTAAGAAGTAAAACGAGCCGGGCACTGGTGGCGTATGCCTTTAATCCCAGCACTTGGGAGGCAGAGGCAGGCGGATCTCTGTGAGTTTGAGACCAGCCTGATCTACAAGAGCTAGTTCCAGGACAGCCTCCAAAGACACAGAGAAACCCTGTCTCGAAACCCCCCCCCAAAAAAAAAAGAAGAAGAAGTAAAACGACATAGCTTCATGTGCACAAAGCTCCAGGTTGGACCCCCTAGTCCTGAAAGCGAGAAGGGCAGTGTCCAGCAGGACCAGCTGGGGTCTGCAGAAGCACCTGACGGATATGGCAGCTGACCGAGGCGTAATGCCACTTATAATGCCTCCAATTTCCAAGGGAGCAGTGGTTCCAGGGGTAAGCCATTCCTGGTGACATGTCTACCCTGGCACCTCATAGTCAGCCTTGGCCATCCTGGAGTGACTCCTTCTCTTGGCCTCATTACCTCACATGGCCACAGGCACACAATCCAACTTCACAGTAAAAATTTGATTTGGGGAAAATGCATTTACAGAAAACCAGACAGACTATAATAAAGTACTTATGCTAACATCTGGATCATTGCTGATATGGAGTTTTTTCCTTTCAATCTTTTTTTTTTCTTTTTTTTTTTTTAAGATGGGCTCATACTGTGTAGCTTTAGCTAGCTTGGTACTCGATATATGGCCCAGTATGGCTTCAAACTGACAGCAATCCTACTAGCTCAACCTCCCAAGTGCTACAATTAAAGGCATGCACCAACCTGGCCTAGAAAGATTTGTTGCCTTTTTTTTTTTTCTTTTTCTTAAAGTCCTGGCAGTGCACCCACATGTATCAGAACTGTGGCTCACACCATTTGGAGGGGTTTACAACAAAGGTGAGTCACTGCCCCCCCCCATGGTCACAACACGGCTAACATTCCAAGGGGTGGTTCTGGGGTCACTTCCCTACACTGAGTCATCAAAGTCCCAATTCTACCTGTCTAGCCAGTATAGCCTCACCCCATGTAATAGGGTTTTTTTTTTTTTCAGAACCCCTAATTTCTTTTTTTTGTTTGTTTTTTCTAGACAGGGTTTCTCTGTGGCTTTGGAGGCTGTCCTGGAACTAGCTCTTGTAGACCAGGCTGGTCTCGAACTCACAGAAATCTGCCTGCCTCTGCCTCCCGAGTGCTGGGATTAAAGGCTTGCACCACCATCATCCGGCTTGGAACCCCTAATTTCTTAATAGTGATGGTCACCGCCTACCTGAGGTGACACCCAGAAACCGGTTGCAGTACCTACCGCAGGAAGCAGTGACTGCATATTCTGGTTGGAGTCTGCTATCGTGGCCAGGTAGACCAGGTTCCGGTGCAGGATCTGCTGGTACCTGTGGGAGACACCTGCAGGTGAAGCAGGGGAAACTGGCCATGCCCAAGGTAGAAGCAAAGTCTACCCAAGTCAGCCTTGACCTCCAGCCAAACCCCAACAGGACACTGGCCCCAAGGACACTGGGGGGGGGGCTGGAAACAAGCAGCTGCAGCTCTCCACCGTCCAGGAAGGGGTAGGCAGGGAACAGGGCCAGCCAAGCCCTAAGCCTGGGAAGACCCTGAGACGTGAGCCAAGAGGAAGGTGGCATGAGGCCAATGGAAAAGGAGGAGAGGCCTAAAGATGACAGAGGGAGACCAGAGGACAGAGTCTGTCCATGGTCAGATATCAGGCTAACTCCACAGCACCTGATAGCCTGAAGAGCCCTAGAAGGAAACAGGAAGGGGCCGGGGGACCCTCACCCCCATCTCACCCACCCACACATTGCACCTGGCAAGGTCTCAGGTCTCTCAAACAAGCTGCACCAGGTGGGGATCTGGGCCTCGCACACTTGATACCCAGGAGACTCAAGGCCCCTCATGAAGGTAAGAGAGAGGTCTGAGGTACTTTGCCCACACAGAGGCACAAGCTGCCTCCTGATTGGGTTTACTATTAGCCCCACGATGGAAGCTGTGGACACCCCTTCCCTCTCTACCCCAGGCCCTAAATGGTGAGGGTTCCCACCTCACTTGTATTCTCAGGGCCACCTGTGACCTTACTCTGCTCAGTAGCCAAGGAGGCTTTCCCAGAGCACGGAGAAGGCAATGTCACAAAGACCAGGGGAGGGCTGGGTCCTGGGCGGGCACGATTACTTACTGGGTGCACTCGGCTGTCTTGCCCTTGCTCTGGTAATCCAGGATGCACTGGATCAGGTGATGGTTCTCATCCAGCATCTGGAGGAAAGTAAGCAGGGCACACGCCTGTCACATGGCAGCTGGTTTACATCCAGGATGCCAGGATCCTGGGGAGCCCGCTGGGCCACTCACTCCAGGTCCCAGGCCCCTACCTAGAGAGAGCTACAGACCCTCAAATCACAAGTGCACAAGAGGGTAGAGGCAGCTTACATCTCTGCTGGTTATGTTCAGCCTGCGTCAGTGAGGGACACTGTAGCCAGGAGAAGGCATTGCAGATACACAAGATCAGGGAAAACACTGAGGAGACTGACTAGGGGGCCACAAGTCTATCAATCTACAACCTTTGATTACAAAATGAAGAGAAGGCCCAGGCTGCACTCTGCAGAGGCCAGCACTGTTCTGAGACTGTCTTACACATAATACAGGGTCCAGATCTGAAAGCAATCTCATCCGGGGATGGGTGAATGGTCACATGTGAGCATGTCGGAGACGGACCACAGGCTCCCAGAACAGTTGCACAGGCCAGAAGCTTGGTTGGTCTTCTCCACCAGGCATAGCCCACACTCACACTCAGCACTGTAGGGAACTGGTCAGACGTGCAGACTCCAAGCCCACACCTGTACAGCTGACAATGTTGGAAGGTGCTGGGAGGCTGGGCTGAGCTCCCGAGGTGTCCTGGAGGTGCCCATGTGTCTGTAGGAGATTCTAGCACTCTTCCCAAACCGAGGAGGGTCTGACCTCCACAGACCCCAGGGCTAGTGCATATGTGCTGGCATGTCCTGGCTTCAGTGACAGGTAGCACTGAGTGGGACATCAGGGAGGGACACTGGGCATGAAGATGCCTGGGAGTGAAGGGGACACGCCAGAGTTATGGGCTGCTATGGTATACAAGAGCCTTCTGCAATGTGACAGTCCCCTCCCCCTTTTAAGGTTTATTTATTTATTTATTTATTTATTTATTTATTTATTTATTATGTATACAGTGTTCTGACCGAATGCGAGAAGAGGGCACCAGATCTCATTACAGATGGCTGTGAACCACCATGTGACTGCTAGGAATTGAACTCTGGACCTCTAGGAGAGCAGCCAGTGCTCTTAACTTCTGACCATCTCCCCAGCCTATGACAGTCCCCTTGGGACAGCAGGAGCCGGGGGAGGAGACAGAGGGAGTGTGGCAAGCCAGTGGGCAGAGGACAACCTGCAGGTAGTGTCGAGACACTTTTGACCAGTTTCCCTGGCGGGGGAGCCTGACCCCGACACACCTGCTGCTCCTGTGCCACACAGGGCCTTTGCTCAACTGTTCACAACAGGCAGGGTCTTCCTTTGCCTTCGCCGAAACACACGCTTGGCTTGTTCCCTTAGGCTGCCTGCTGCCCCTGCCTGTGGTTTGAAGCACGGGTCCCTGAACTGCTTCCTGTCTGAGTCCAGCTCCACCCCTCAGCCTGTACAACCTCAGGGGTGGTCTCTTCACTGTTTTCTTTCTTGTGGTGAGGTCGCAAAATATCCTGTGCCCACCAGGGGGCACTGCCACACAGAAGCTGCTTCTGAGCAGGTAACGTTCAAGACAGGACTAAAGAACAAACCTCTGAAAACCCCACCCCTGACACACATAAGGCTCCCAGCATCCTCTTCTTCGACCCCTACATCTCGAGGAAGGGCTCTCTCCAAGGGCACAGCACACCTAGGAAGGATGTCCTGTCACCATGAGCCACAAGGAAGACACAGAGAGGTCAGTGACACCATCACTACATCACGGTGTAGCCGCCAGACGGGTCAGTGCTGCATTACATGGTACCCGCATTTATAAGCACCAGGAAATAATGAACTGTTACCATGTTTTAAGATTTTGTTTGCTGGATATGTAGACACGTGTGCAGGTACCCAAAGAAGCCAGAAGAGGAGGGGCCAAATCCCGGAGAGGAGTTACAGGTGGCTGTGAGCTGCCCAATGAGGGTGCTAGGAAGTGAACTTGGGGCCTCTGCAAGGGCAGTGCACCCTCTCACCTGCAGAGCCAAATCTCTAGCCCATGCCTTCTAAAAACAGCAAACGGGGTGCTGGCTCGCTTAGTTTAAAAACATGCACAGGAAGTTGGGCATGGTGGCATGTGGCTTTAGTCCTAGCACTCAGGAGGCAGAGGCAGGTGGATCTTCGTGAATTCTAAGCCAGCCTGGTCTACAGAGCAAGTTCTAGGACAGTCAGGGCTGTTACACAGAGAAACCCTGTCTTGAAAAACTAAAAACAAAATAAAACATTCACAGGAAAGACAGGATGCATGGCAAGGGCTCCAGACCCTCGCAAACCTGCCTGCAGGGGACAAGCACTGTATGAAATTCCCAGGACAGTGAGAACAGGCCATGAGCTGGCAACTGTGGATTTCAGGGAGAAAGGAACCCCTGGAGCGTCTCTATGGAAAGGAGGAAGGCAGAGAGCACCCCACCCACATGTAGGAATACAACCTCCCACTCTGTCCCCAGTCTCAACAGGGCTAACGCATGACGGCCAGCGTCAGCCTGTGGAGGAAGTCATCATCTCAGAGGCAAACACTAATACCCAAGACCAGGATACAGGCCAGGAGTAGAGCATCTGCCTAATGTGTAGGACTTCAGTCTGGTCCCAGTCTGACCCCCTGCACTGCCTCTCAATGGACAACACCTGGAGCAACCAAGATTATAAGGAAAACAAAACAAAACAAACAACCCTATATTCAAAACACAACAATAGCCAGGCGGTGGTGGCACACACCTTTAATCCCAGCACTCGGGAGGCAGAGGCAGGAGGATCTCTATATAAACAAGTTACTATACAAATGAAAGATAACAGGACTATTTAAAATTATCACAGGAAGCCTGTTGTAGTGGCTCATGACTTAATCCCAGCACTCCAGAGGCAGAGGTAGGCAGATCACTGTGAGTTCGAGGCCAGTCTGGTCTACACAGTTCTAGGACAGGCAGGAATAAACAGAGATACCCTGTCTCGAAAAAAAAAAAAAAATAGGGCTGGAGAGATGGCTCAGAGGTTAAGAGCACTGTCTGCTCTTCCAGAGGTCCTGAGTTCAATTCCCAGCAGCCAAAGGGCAGCTCACAGCCTTCTATAATGGTATCCAATGCCCCCTCTGGCATGAGGCTGAGTACCCATATATAAATAAATAAATCTTACAAAAAAAAAAAAAGCTGGGCGGTGGTAGCTCAGGCTACCAAACCAAAACATAACACAAACAAACAAAATTAGCACAGGGCTGGGGAGATGACTCAGAGGGTAAAGGTATCTGCCACCAAACTCACAACCTGAGTTCCATCCCTGGAACCCACACTGTGGAAAAAGAACTGACTCCCACAAAGTGGTTCTCAGACCTCCATGGCACCCATGCACAGGCATACTAAACAAACAAACAAACAATAGGAACCACAAGGACTCCCTCCCCCAATAAGCTCTCGGAAAATATGTCAGTGAAAACAAAGCAAAAAAGCTGGGCATGGTGGTGTGAGCCTGTAATACCACACTTAGTAGGCAGACAGGGTGTCAAAAGTTGAAGGCTAACCTGGTCTACATACATAGTGAGTTCTAGGCTACACAGTGAGACCTTGTCAAAAATCAGAACAGGGTCGGAGAGATGGCACAGAGGTCAAGAGGGCATAAGGATCTTACAGAGGACCCAAATTCAATTCCTAGCACCCACTCACTCAGGAAGCTCACAACTGCCTAGAACTGAAGGATTATCTAGATTAGACTGATGAGAAGACCCACCCACTGTGAGTGGTGAGTAAAATGGAGACTGCAAGCTGAACACAAATGTTCATCTCTCAAGACATAGGACGTGAAGGGGAGTGAAACGCTCCATTCTGCAGGGAAGCACCGTAAGACAGGAAGTCAACTCAAAATAGCTCTCAGGAAGTCCCTGAAACTGACCAGAATTTCCAGGCCTCTGCCTCCCAAGAGTGTATAAGCAGTAAGGACAGCTGAGAAGACTCTCAGGCACGCCTACCATCTAGAGAGGCTCAGATCAACTGAGCTATCAGGAAAAGGCACACTCCAACCTGCCGAGCTGCCTGCAGCCTGTGCAGTGTGCTCCAGGTGTCCAGCTTTGTGAGCTGTCGGCAATGCTGCAGAGGCCTCTGGCGACGCAGCTGTCTAGGTCATTTCTACTTCCGTACGTAACCCCTCATCCATCAACTTCTGTAAGTAACCCCAACAAAACTCAATTGGACATTGACACGAAGTCTATTGTGGGTTCCCTTTCTGGGGTGAGTAGATGGGAGTATCTTCCCTGGAAAATCTTGTCATACAGCATCCTCTGCTTCCTGGCAGTGGAAGCAGTATGACCAGCTGCCTCGAGCCCCGGCCACCATGGCTAAACCCTTGGACTGTAAACAGGAATAACCAGGGATCTCTTAAGTTGCTTCCTCTCAGGCCAGGAGAAAAACAACGAGACACCACCCATTGTAGAGGTTCATGATCTGAGGATATTTCTAGAAGCTGAGGACTAAACTAATGGCACTTTCAGGAGAATGCCGCAGCCCTACTGCTAGAAGCCAATCTCACCCTACTGCAGAAGGTACGAATTGACTGTGTTAGCTTCAAAACAGTCCCGAGAGTGCAGGCAGGCAGGACACACGGGAGGTACAGCCTTGTACCTCAGTTTGCAATGACTACACACAGAGTAAAATACGTGACCACAGACACAATATATTTCCACCTTCCTGAGACAACACACGTCAATTCTGGTCCTGTACGGATTTGGATGCTTAGAAACTAAGTTAGCTCAGCTCAGCCAAATCCTCCTGCCCCCAGCCCCACTTCTCCCTCTAGCTATTGGCCATTCAGCTTTTATGTTGGTGGTGGTGGTGGATTTTGAGACAGGGTTTCTCTGTGGCTTTGGAGCCTGTCCTGGAACTCGATCTGTAGACCAGGCTGGTCTTGAACTCACAGAGATCTACCTGCGTCTGCCTCCTGAGTGCTGGGATTAAAGGCGTGCTCGACCACTGCTGAACCGCCATTCAGATTTTTATTAGACCAATCAGGTGCCTTAGGCAGGCGAGGTAAAACAGCAACACATCTTTATTTATTAAACAAATGTAACACATCTTTACATAGTTAAATACTATTCTACAAAACCACTTTCTACCATTTCTGACAAGCCAAATGACCCTGAAGTGATCTAGCCTATCCTCTGCTGTTCAGTGCCTTTAACCCAACATCATCTCCGCTTTAAAAGCAAGAAACCGAGGCCCAGAAAGCACACGTGAACTAGAACTGATGAAAGAGAATTTGAGCCTAGAAGGCCCGAGAAGCCCTGTTCTGCTCTCCCGAAGATCAGGGGACCCTCCGTACGCATGCTAAAAACAGACACAATTTGAAATGTAGCAAAACAGCTCCTGCCCACAGCCTGCTCTACACAGCATCCCATAATCCCTCTCCCTTGCTGCTCATACCTTCAGGCCTTCGATTACTCTTTCACATGCCACACACTAGGTTCTGAGGCCTCAAGACAGCAGCCCCAAGCCTTATCTGCTGGTGGTCACACCCAGTGCTTAGTGTACCTGCTGGGCACAAGGCATTCATTGCCCGTAGCTTGGGGACTTCCTGAAGTGGCCCAGAGGCTCCGAGCACAGAGACAGGTGATAGTCAAGCTCACTGGCCCAGAAATCTAGGAACATGCCTAGGGCATAGTGCCATGTGCCAAAGAGTACAAGTGTTCTCTCCAGAGGCCCACAAAGGAGAGAGGTGCAAGGAGGCGGGGGACACCAAATCCTGTTTCAGTGTCTCCCTGTAGACTGCGGGACAGATGTAAAGGCAAGCAGCCTTTGGCCACAGATAGATCTCTTCTCTGGAATGTCCAGCAGGAGTGCTCCCAGCCATGCTTCACTAAGCAGCAGGCTCCTAAGATCCCTGTCCCTGCTTCTCCCCACCCTAGAAATGCAGGGCTCAGGTTGAGAACCATGCAGGGTGGTCCCTTGCCTGACAGAAGGCAAAGACACCAAGGGGCTAGTCCCACCTGAAGGTGGGCTCCAGACTGAGTAATGAGGGGGTATCGTTCCCTTCCCATTCCAGGGATGGGAACAGAGGCTCTGTGCTCCCCTGGGAAGGACTCTCTGCCCAAGAGCAGCTACCCAAGAGTCATTGTTCTGCTACCTAATAGCAGACTCATTTCCACAAACCATCCACCTCTGTGGGGACAGCTCTAACTTTCCAAGTGGCCAAGTTACCTTCCTAACTGGATTGGTTGTGTAAGCCTGGAGACCTGAGTTCAATCTCTGGAACCCATGGAAAAGGAGAAGAGGAACAGGTTTCCCAGAGTCTCCTCTGACGGCTACATGTACACGGCGGCACCTGCAACTGTGCTAATAATGATGATGATGATGAAGCTAATACAATCAGCCTCAGATATGTAACTTTTGTTGTGTAATTGTTGTGTGAAACAGCAGGGGGCGTCCAGTTGTCCCTCTAATAGGCATGCAGCCATGGGAACCACTGCACTGTACCAGCCTGGTTGTATCAGGAGCACAGTGCGGGATACCTTCATACTATGGCCTTTAGCTAGCAGAGAGGAAGACAGGGTTGGCCCTGAGCCGCTGGCGCCCGTGAAGGCATCCGCCAGCTACAGCTCCATCTCAGGATCCTGGGCACACCTGGCGACACTGTCCTCAGCAAAGCACAGTTCTGACTAGTCTCTCTCAGGTACCAGTGCTCTGTCATCGCAAGGTCACCTGCTCCAGGTCAGGCCAGCTCTCCAGGCTTCCACTCTGGGTCCCCACTCCCTGCTCCATGCAGGGTGGTCTACTCACGGCTTGCTCAAATTTCCTGACCCCATGAAATATCTAAACTTGTGAAGCAGGCCATCTGCAAATTAGTAAGTTACCATTGTCCGTCTAAGAGGAAGAAACCCAGACAAGGAGATCCAGGGAGAGGAAAACAGAGACCTTGCTGCAGACAAGGAGGACACCAAAGGCTTTGGCAGCCATCAGAAGCTGAGGAGGTAGGAAGCAGCCTCCTTCAGGACTGCAGGAAGGACAGATGGACGGATGGACGGAAGGCAGCCACTCCTTCACAGCTAGACAGGGTGAGTGAATGAAGACTGCTATCTAGGGAAATTGTGGGGCACTAACATTGGCTTAGGCAGAATGAAGCTTAGGTAGCTTCAGGCTATGACACATTCTACTGTATGTGGGGTACACTAGCTGCAACCAAGTCCCATGCGAAACTAGGGACCAGCAGTGACTATCTCAGTCACATGCTAACTCACATGCCACAGACAATACCTCAAAGTCCTACAGTGGCCTTGTGACTGATGAGAGAAGATTAGGAGGGGACATTTGTGTGGGACTTTGAAGGTTGAGCAGGACTTGTCACTCTGAGAACACACTGTTCCTTCCTTTGCTTTCACCCTCCCCCAGAGCTCTCAGGCACCCTGGCCTTCCCCAGTGATCTTAGCATGGGCAGGTTAGCACACAATGACTGTGCACGGAGTATGCATGCACACTCGGGGTGGAGTTTAGGGTTTGGGGAATACTAGGCCAGAGGTCTGCCCTTGGCTTGATACAGGGTCTTGCTTTACAGCTTGGGCTACCCTTGAACTTGCCATGTAGCTTCAGGCTGTCCTTAAACTTTCCAGTCTTCGCTCTGGAATGTGATCCCAGGGGTACATCACCAAACTAGGTCAAAGTACATGTGTGAAGTATAAGACACACTCCCCTCAAGCCTACTTAAGACTCTACACTAAAGGACCCACAGAGGCAGTAAGTGGACTGCTGGATCTACCAGGTCAAGTACCTTAACAGGATGAATTGAAGACGTACAGGCTGTTTCTGCCCCAGACTGAGGCCAGCAAATTTCCCCTCTTGGTGATCTGATGTTTGGGGTGGATCTCCAACACACTTTAGCCTGGAGAAACTGAGGCTCTTCGATGAGCAGGTGTGACTACAAAATTCTGGACAAGCAACGAAGCCAAAGGTGGCTCTGAGAACGGTGACTGTGAAGCTCCAGCAGCCAGAGGGCTAGGGCACTGTCGGGCCTTCCAATGTGTGTACTGTGCTTCACCCTCCATCAAACAAGGCTCCCAACCCATGGCCGCAGGGACAGCAGCCCCTGGAGCGATCATGGACGAGCTGCTGCTGCGACTCCCTCTACCACTGAGCCTCTGCAGCCTCAGTTTCCTTCCCCAAGTCACCTCAAAAAAGTTAAATGTGACAAGAGCTATCAAGCCTAGAAACACCATCGCATCCCACAGCTCTCAAAAGGTTAATACAAAAACCACACTGGAAAATCCGAATTTCTGCTCTGCTCCAATAATCTCTCCTGCCCAAAGCTCACCAAAGCTTGCTGATTTCGACAATCATTATATTCCAAAGAGGCGGAATACAGCAAGGGTGAGCTGGGAAACAGGTGACAAGCTGAGTAAATACCCACAAGCCCCTCAGGTTATGAGGGCCTAAAATGCCAAGGCCCTTGGGGACCTAACCGGCTCAAGGGAATTCGGAAATTCTGTAGAAGGAACCCGAACTGAGAAAAGCCAGAGCGTAGGAAAGATGTTCAGACCGAAAGACAACCAGTAAAATGCTAAAGTGTTCATGTCAAAACTTAAAGCTTTTGTTAAATATGTCCCCAAACCCATGCAAACGCCTTCTTTGGAAAACAGTAGCCCGAATAAAGGATGGGACCGAGACTGCAGGACGAAATCTCCGAAGTCTGGGTGCAGGCAGCGGGGCCCGCCGGGGCCCAGTGACCCGCGCGGGGGCGGGGCTGCGCTGGCCTCAGGTCCACCCGCCTGCAGCGAGCTCGGGAGCCCGCTGCGGGCCGTGGGGAAGGCACGCACACTTTGGATGCGTCCCTTTGTGCCGGGGACCGCAATACCTACGACACCGGTCAGCTCGCCGCAGCGGCGCGCCACCAGGCAGCCCGCGCCCCCTTCTCCATTCGCCAAGCTGCGCGCAGAGGCGCGCGCGCG